ACCTTGTATTGGTCCAATACTGCCCCCTGCTGTATCTACTCAGTATGGAACTGCACCATAGTTTAATAATTATATTTAATCTCAATTATTGCAGTGATTAAAATATTGATATATATGTAATTTGATGTATTACTATATTATTGTCTTATAAGCATAAACATCTTACATAATATTGCTCAACTGTTGTAATATTATGCAGTTCTTTGTCAACGATCATCATTGGCAATGTTGCCTCTTTCTACACACATAGAAAAAGACACTGGGATTGTATTTTCTCCCAGCACCAATGGTCTTATGGTCAATGCCATAGCCGTTCACGTGGGAGATCAGGGTTCAAATCCCAGCTACAGTAACTTTAACAAAAAGATTATTCAAACTTCATATTTTCACACAATTACCCTCATTACAAACACCTGCTGACAGCCACAAGCTGGTACTTGATTAGAAAACACATTTGAACTTGGTCAGTTCATTCTGCAAGTCCATTGCTGCAGGCAATGACATGCTACAAGGCAATGCACACTTGTTTTTACACGGTAAAAACCCATGTCAAGTTGATTTTTGTTTTCATTAAAACCTGCTCCACTTTATTCTTAGTTTTTTCTTTATATTATTAAAAATACATCAAGCTCAGTTTACAAACATAAAGATAATGCCCTCAGGATTTTAATTTGATTGTAGAAACATTGTTTTTAACTCTGAAGGTTTACTTTTGAGCTCATAAACTGATTTTAGCATTGCATTATAATTTTATCCTTGTTTTTTCTTCTTTTCCTGCCATTTTAATCCTTGTTTAATTGATTTAACCCTTTTTTTCCCCCAGAGCTGGACCCAGACCTGCACTTGTTGTGTCCTCGCGCTGAGACGCTCCTCGGTGTTTGTCCAGCTCCACCTGCAGCTGCCGGATCAGGTCATCCTTGGCGTCCAGCTCCAGCTCCAGCTCGTCGATCAGAGCGTCTCTCTGCCGGAGCTCCTCGATCTTCAGCTGCAGAGCCAGCTGCAGATCCCGCAGCGTCCCGCCGCTCTTAGACACGGCCATGGACGCGCGCGTCCACAGGGATGCTGGAGGAAGAGGATGGAGTGTGGAGGTGGAGGTGGAGGTGATGGGAAGATGGAAGTGAAGATGCTGAACTGGGACGTTTGGAGTATGCAATGTAAAAAACAAAAAGGAAAAAAGACAGCTTGATAAATTTTGATTATCTATCTTTTTAAGTCCAGAACTTTTGCTCAGTCTTCGGTCTCCACTCTAATCATGAACACACACGCCTTTTACAGCTGTACTCACTTGTTTCGATCAAATTTTGAAGATCTTTACAACCCTGCTGAGTCCGGGAGGAAAACTGACAAACATTTCAGAAAAGTAAATCTACAAAACCCATAAAGATCCCTGAAGTAATGTCTGCTGAATAAGAAGGAAAGAGGAGTCCGACTGGATCGAGGGGAGCAGGCAGCTGAGTGTAACAGTGCTCCTACAAAATAAAAGGAGCATCATGTTTTTATTTTGAAAAAAAAAAAAAAATTACAACGAGTACTCCCCAAAATGAAATTGTGTAAATATAATGATTTTTTTTTAAAAAAAA